TACTGTTGCATATGCGAATATTTTTTATGCTATAAATTCAAGTTATGAATTAAATAACGTCAACATTCCTCTATGTATTCCTCACTATATGCTTTCCGTATTCGTTACTTTTACCCTCAAAAAGTTAATGATTTCATCCATTTTGTTATAGAATGTTCCGAATATAATGCCATTATCAGTACGTCTAATGTCAAAATGAAGATGACTATTCTTTACCCTTTTCATTCGATAAGATTTCAAAAATATTTAGGCCCTTCAGGGTCAAACATTAAATTAGGTAATGCTTATTTGATTTCTGGATTTGTCAAATTTTCAGCTTCTAGTAAGCTAATGATAAAGGCAACCGAAATAGATTTCTAAAGACAAATGTGAATTCGAATATGTTTAAAAGTTCCTCTTCGATAAGTACCCGATCAATTGTTAATATTATTGTTGATAATATTGAATCTGCTTAAAAACAAGATCATGTGACTTCATCATTTAACAATAAATCATCAGAAATTCTGATAATGATTATTGATAACGATGATAATGATATAGAAAGTAATCTGAATAACAAAGAAAAACAATCCAATCTCAAAGATAGTAAAAAAGTTACTAACTTGGATGAAGATAAAAATATGCATAATAAAGAAAGCAAAGAAAATCATCAATCAAAACAAAAAAAAGAAGCATTAAAATGGTCACAAGAAAAAAAAAAAACTGAAATTAACTATTGAAATTTAAAAATAAAGTTTTAATAGGTTAGTAAATTACAAGCACTTGCATTTTATTTATCAACCAAAATACTTCAAACTAAATTTCTCATAATTTTTAGTCGTACAATTTCAAAAAAAAAAAAAATTGAAATTGAATAAGTCAAGCCGATATATCGCTATTATAAGTACTCAAAAAAAAAAAAAACTTTTTACTTTATTTTATTCTAGGGCTGTTAATTTTTTTTTTTTTGCGTTTATTAAGAATCTGATATAGTAATTGGGTTAACAATTAATAATATTAACAAATCAAATTGTTAAGTAACTTATAACTGACTATTTGTATCCTCATATACACTAGTCATTTCGCCACTTTTGATAAAGCTTTTTAAAACCTCTTTGATAAGTTGAGTAATCTACTTTAATTGTCTAGTCCTTGGAATTCTAAAAGGTGAATTCCTTGTGTAACACGTACATAAATCGACTTTTTAATTTAAAATGACAAATAATCTAAAACAGACCGACAGTTCATCAGATATTAACCAAATATATTTAAAAGATAATAACATATTGAATATTTTTAATGAAATTGTTAAAGAATTAAATAATTTAGATAATGAAGAAAGATCGAAGCGCAAAAGTTTAAAACAAAGATTTAACATATTGGAACAATTTTTAGCAAAAAAGAACCAAAATCCAGATAATGTAATTAAATAGTGCTTAGAAAATCAAATCAATCCTATAGTTCAAATAATTCTCGAACATTGTTATCAGCATAGTAAATGGATTAAAAAGGATGAACATAAGGCATTCATTTATTATCAAAAATCTGCTGATCTGAAACTTGATGAAGGAATATTTAATGTTGGATATTGTTATCGACATGGAATTGGAGTTGAAAAAGATAAACGTAAGGCATTCATTTATTATCAAAAATCTGCTGAGATGGGGCATGCTAGTGGAATGTATAATGTTGGATATTTTTATGATTGCGGAATTGGAGTTGACAAGGATGAACATAAGGCAATCATTTATTATCAAAAATCTGCTGAAATGGGTAATTCTAATGAAGTATTTGGAATTGGATATTGTTATGATTGCGGAATTGAAGTTGACAAGGATGAATGTAAGGCATTCATTTATTATCAAAAATCTGCAGATATGGGGCATTTGGGTGGAACGTATAATGTTAAAAATTATTATCGACAAGGAATTGGAGTTGAAAAGGATGAATGTAAGGCATTCATTTATTATCAAAAATCTGCAGAGATGGAGGATGGAATGTATAGTATTGGAAATTGTTATCGAAACTGAATTGAAGTTGAAAAGGATGAACATAATGCATTTATTTATTATCAAAAATCTGCAGAGATAGGGTTTGTTGCTGGAATGTCAACAGTTGTGGAGTGTTATCAAAATGGAATTGGAACAACAAGTGATTTAGATAAGGCCAAATACTGATATCAAAGGTAAACTTTGAGTTTAATTTATTCAATTTATTCAGGGATATTTTTGACGCATCATAATCAAATCAAAATCAAATCATAATCAAATCATAATCATATCATCAAATCATAAGGTCAGATGTAATTGAGTTGGTCAATGTTAGAATTATAATTAAATTAGAACAGAATTATAGCTTTAAAATGATATATGAGCAATTACATCTGATTTTAATATTTTATCAATACTAAATTAATATTATCTATCGTACAGCCACATTTTTACTATCGTACCAAATTTGGTTCATATTTGTATTAATATTTGTATACATTCATATTGTATAGCTTTTTTTCTAAAAAATACCATAAATAACTGATAACAATAACTGATAACAATAACTGATAACACTAAAAAAAAATTTATATGTAAAAAACTGCTTAAAGATGACAAAAGCTAGTTTGGAGCACGTTATTTATTTAATGCATATGATAGTAACAACTGCCAAACGATAATAACGTTATCGTATGAGAGAAAAAACTGACGTGATAGTACAGATATTTTTTTATCCACAATACGATAACTTATACGATAACCAATACGATAACTTATACGATAACTTATTCGATAACTTATACAATAACTTATACAATAACTTATAATTAATTTAATAAATTCATATATTTAAATTGCCAATTAGGAAGAAAGAATTAATGTTAGGTATTATTATAATTTATTTAAACTATATTGTTATCTATTTCTTTAGAATCTAAAATTGATAAATTTTATTATTAGCACAAATGAATGGATATTTAATTCTGAATTGATGATGATTTGAAAAATTTATTGATCGAAAATGAGTATCAGCTGTCTTGATTTCTTATGATGAATTTACGAATATTACAGAAATAGGTAAAGGTGGATTTGCAACTGTATATTATGCTAAATAGTATAATAAAAGTCAAAATGCAACCAGATCCGTTGTGCTTAAATTACTTCATAATTTAAATAATTGTCGCAGCTGATGCTGAAAACGGCTGAAGCTGAAATTTGGGGTCTTGATTTAAAAATATAAGCCCTGTTAAAATCTATATATACTTGTTAATTATCAAATCTAACCCTAAATACTAATTCAACTATAAAAAAAAAGCAGAGAAAAAACATCCCAAAAAAATTTAAAAAATTTATATCAAAATAGATTTGAATTTCAGCATCAGCCGTTTTCAGCATCAGCTGCGACAATAATTATCATGAAGAATTTATAAAAGAGGTAATTTTTTATTTAATATTTTTATTAATTATACAGAATATAATTCATTATTTATATTAATAATTTAAAATATATTTCATTTTAATAATAAGTTAAAGCATATTGCGATATCGGCCTTAAAGATCTAACTTTTTTAAAATGTTTCAGTATATCAAAAGATAAAGTTTCTAAAGACTATATCTTGTAATGATGTACGCTTCAAAAGGTAATTTGTGCAAAAATCTGCAAATTATAGCACAAATGGATTGGAAAGATAAATTAAATCTGCTACAATGTATTGCATCAGATCTTCAGATAATTCATTCCCATGATCTTAT